CCACTATTAGTTCAAATATGAGATGTTTATATATTTAGACGATACAATTGAACAAAAAAATGTATTAACTCAGAAGATTTTATTTATTATTGAACGGCTTATTAAAAAAATTCGTCAAGATATTTATTTGGATAAACGTCTTGGACTCATCACTCAACATTTATTACTGTTACATTTTCCAAAAGAACGAAAATTAAAAAATGAGATTTTAGTAGAATTAAACGAGAAAAATTTTCAATATAATCGTGTCTGTGATAAATTAAAATCAACAACAGCTGAACTGCGAGTATTGAAAATAGAGTTAGATGTGAATATGACGACATATGATAACTTGAGTCATCAACTATTGGTGCTCTATCGCTTAATCTATGTTTGTAATCAAACTAATCTGAGTATGTACGATTAAAAGCGATGGTCTGTTGCTGGTTTGTTATTGTTATTGTAAAATTAGATATATTTTTGACAAATCTGACTAATTTTACAAAAATTCGTTCACTTGATGAAGTTGATAATGTAGACATTCAACAACGTACTCTTTAAAAATGTAGAATCTTATTGCGTTTTTCCTACTATAATCAAAAATAAGTTTCTCATTTTGCAGGTTTTAATATTCTTCATTAGTGATTTCAAAAGATTGCCTTATTTGTATTTGTTATTCAATAACTAATTTATTTTAGACGCCACCGGCCAGATTTTTGTTTTTTAATCTAGGAGAAAAATGAAATTTTCTCAGAAAACTAGCCGAAATTATTCTAACTTTTAAATAAAAGTGTTGGGAAAACTAAACAAAAAAGCTATGAAGAAGTTGTAGCGCCAAGTTTTGGCTACATTTTCAGACGGTTTTGAGCCTTTTGGCACGTAAAACGGTGGAGAAATTTTTGCCGCACAAACATCTACTTTTGGATCCTTATTTTTAGGATAAATGTGGGAAAACTCAAAAATTCTGTTTTATATATTTAGTACCAACCTTCTAGAATAAGCCCTACACCCTGTGAAATTAAATGTTCTGAAATGAACATCAAATTCGGACAGTGAGAGAGTGGTTCTTAAATCCAGGTTTCTTCATTCTGCTTTTGAAAAACACAGTTAAGTAACGTACATGATGTACCGCAATTGAACTCAGTTTAGTTTTTACTTCGTAGTAAAGCAAATATATCAATTTATCCAGGAAGACATGGTATTAGTAGAAGACCTTGCACGCGAAAGCAGCGCACACTGCAGTCAAGAACTAAGCGAGTGTAAATCTAGTGGGTGAATCCACGTGAAACATACCACCATTACATCGATCCTCGGCGTTAGCGGTGAGATAGCATGGATTTTGTGATTTTGAAGCGCGTGCTGCGCTGAATTTTTTGGTGAAAACCGCTGGTATATAACTATTGCAGAAAAAAAATTATTGGCGTTTTATTCCCCCGGCACAAGTAGCGGAATTTTGCCTTTTCTCAGTTATTTTGACCCATCGTGTGAAGCTCACACCGGGTCTCATCCCACTTCAACATTGACGAACATGGACGACTTTAAATGGAAGAACATTGTAAATACCATATATGCAGAGAAAAAACAATTTGGCCCATTTAGGGGTTTTGAGATAAAGACTCTTGAAAACCCGAGTTTTCTAGAAAATCCCTTAAAGTCAAACTTTATCTAAAACGTTTTCTAACCCCATGGTTGGATAGAGCATTCAATTCTGAACGAAATGATATATTGCCGACGTTTCTAAGATCTACCGTCCAAAATTGGCATTAAAAATATGAAAAGTGTTTGAAAATACTCAGTTAGAAACGCAAATCAGGAATTTCACATTTGGACATTTTGTAAAGCCTCTAGTTCAATCATCCCAAGTTGCAAAATTTGCGAAACACTCAATTAGTTCAGAATAGAATGCTTTGTCCAACCATGTGGTTAAACATCTCATATCGGAAATAATAGTGA